ATGGGATTGCTATGCTCCTCACCCTACTTCATAATTAAACTCACCAGGTTCTGAGTTGCCTGTTCTCACCTGTTGCCCAGACGCACTCTGTACATCCTCAACTACAGCCACAACTTCCTCACCATTTTCTGGATGTTGCTCCCTCACCCAGGTCTGGATCTCCTGTGGCAAGATGGTGAGAAACTGCTCCAAAACCAGCAGCTCCAGTATTTGCTCTTTTGAGTGTGTCTTAGGCCTTAGCCACTGACAGCAGAGTTCCCAGAGCTTGCTAAATCCTTCATGGGGGCCAGCTACCTCCTGGGAGCATTAGTGCCTGAAGCATTGGCGGGTATGCCTGGGGACTCATTGTTGCAGCCATGACTGGCTTCAGCAAACTGGCTCACTGGTAGCCGCTTCTACTCTAGAGAGCAGATTCCATTTCTTCTCAGATCACTAGGAAGCCATTCTCCTGGAGACCAGTGCAAGAAGAGACACATGAGAATACCAGAGTGGTGCAGATGCACAGTTGAGAAAGACTAGGCTTTGAAGGGAGGCTGCAGAAAAGGGAAAAGACAGGGTAAATTTATCTCCTATTCCTTCCCTCTGCCTCTTGTGATGCATTTTATGTCCTTTTCCTTTGCTTCCTCCACATTCCAAGCCAAGGATCTAAAGCACTGGAAATACCAAAACAGTTTTCATCACATCCAGATGGTGTCTGCTAATGAATTCTCCAAACTACTTTCTTTTGTTTCCCATAGATCGGGATCTTGTCCCTGCCCTCCCTCCCCTCCGGAAGCCAGGAGCCACCTTCCCAATCGCCACCTTCTCTTAAGGTGCCTCTAGTTCAACTTCTTCATCACTTTCACCCTCCCCCCTGCCGCCGCCACCACCATCACCACACACACACACGCACACACACGGTGTGGATGAGAAATGACTGGTTTGCTGTATGCTCTTATTCTCCAGTATTCCTTTCTATTTTTGAATGCAGGCTCTTCTTCCTTTGTGAAAGAGTCCCTCTCTAGCCCAGTGGATCTCGTGGTGCTATTCGTTACAGTACCCCACCCCACCCACTTTGGAGAGCAGGCATGTGACATAAACAGAGCCTGTCAAAATTCTCCTGAGATTTTACCTACAGGTGGGGTAGGAGAAGTTCCAAATTTCCTAGGAATTGCTGAATTGGGTGGGTGTAAGACTTGAGCATGGGACTTTGGCTGGAGTCATGATCTCACGGTTCATGAGTTTGAGCTGTGCTGACAGCTCAGAGCCTGGAGCCTACTTTAGATTCTGTCTCCCTCTCTCTCTCTGCCCCTCCCCCACTTGCACTCTGTCTCTCTCTCTCCCCAAAATAAATAAACATTAAAAAATATTAAAAAGAAAATAAAAACCGGACTCAAGTTACTCTTCTTCCAAAGAAGTTAAACTGCCTTCACTTATAATCACTTTACATGTAATGCAGCCCAAGATGCTACAAGTAGAGAAATGGAAGGCATTATAGATCTTTTTAACAAAAACAGGAGCATCACATGGCATAGCTCCTCAGCACAAGGTCACGGACTCGAAGAAGAAGTATCCCATGCCTCACAGATTTTCTACTTCCTGCACCTTCTCTGGATGAGGAATAATGTAATAAATGCTATCCTAGTTTCATGCGGAAGACAGAGCCTGTGCTCTTCATGACCCCTGCCATCCCCCCCCCCCCCCCCCCCCATAGTTTGTTGTAAAACGCCGGTATCGGAAATGTGTTTCACTCCGACGAAGACGCTGGCGCTTGGCGGGAAGCAGGACGAAGACGGGAGCAGGGCTGATTCACTTCGCGCTCAGCAGGGACGCTCTGAGGACTCCGGCTGCGCCCGGTGCGAGGTGTGGGGAAACATCCGCACGGGCAAGGCCCGGAAGGAGGACCCCGCCTGTCCCCACCGTCCTGAAAAGATTCCCAGAGGCAAAGGGGCTCACAGGCGGGCGTCGGACCCCGCTGCGAGACCGCGGCCGCGAGGAAAGGCAACACTCACCGGACTCGCTCCGCCGCCGGGCCGGAAGTGTGCGCTTGGAGCCCCGGCGCTAGTCCGCCGGCTACGCATGCTCGCGAGCAGCGCCTTTGGACTACAACTCCCGGCGTGCACTGCGAAGGCCGGGCGTCGTCCCTCGCCAGCACCGACAGACTCAGCAGCAAATAGACACGAGAGAACGCCTTCTGGGAGCCAATCCCCCAGGGGAGGGGGCGGGCCCTCCTGCGGCGCAGTTCGCGCGTCATTCCTCCTCAGCCAGTGGAAGTGTCCGCGACGAGCGGCCCCGCCCCCGTCCCTGGCTCCCAGGTTCTGGGTCCCGGGTCCCCAGAGAGGTGAGTCCGCGGCCGGTGGGCGCGGGTTGCGGGGCTGTCGGCGAAGCTGCCGCCTCAGGCGCAGCCCCGGCCTGCACGCAGCCACGAAGCTGAGCCGCGCGCCGGAGAGCCCGCAGCTCCGCCTCGCCAGGGGCAGCCGGGGCGCCCTCAGAGGCCGGAGCGAGTGGGCCTGCCGGGCGTCGGGAGCGAGCCGCCGCCGTGCTCAGCCTGCCTTGCTGCGCGTGGGGGTTCCGATCCCTCCACTCCGGCACGCGCAGCCCCGCGGCTCCGGGCGACGTGCTCGAGGTCGGTGCAGCCCGGGTGCCGCGGAGCTGGCGCAGGCCACCTGTGTGACAACTTGAACTTTTCCTAGGATTTCCCGACCGCCAGATGGATCACCTTGCGCAGTTCCTCTGAGACCTCGTGCGTTTATCGATGAAATAAAAAGCAAGATTTTCCCCAGTTCCTTTTAGAACGTTATGACTTTTCTCCATTTGGAGACAGCTCAGGAAACTGCCAGAGGGACAGACAGCTCCTCTCCGTCGGGCCCTGCGTTGTCTTCGGGAGCTTGGGGCCTGTATGTGCCCCGCCCTCGCTGACATCTTTCCAGCGCTTAGAGACACTTGTCCAGAGTCATGATCTTGAAGGCTTGAGCCGCTTGCCAGGAGAGAGAGGCTGTCTCCTGAGCCCCAAGATGGCGGCTAAGATGGAGATAACTTTGAGCTCGCAGTCCCACATTCAGGCCTCCTCCAAGCCAGAGAGACACATAATAACAAAGCTGGAAGAGAGACGGGGACCCGCTCTGCAAAAGGACCGCCCCGATCCCGAGCTCTCCCGCCAGAGCTTCCGACGGTTTTGTTATCAAGAGGTGTCTGGACCCCAAGAGGCACTCGCCCGGCTGCAGCAGCTCTGCCGTCAGTGGCTGCAGCCCGAGCTGCACACCAAAGAGCAGATACTGGAGCTGCTGGTGCTGGAGCAGTTCCTGAACATCCTGCCCTCGGAGATTCAGGCTCGCGTCAGGCATCAATGTCCAATGAGCTGCAGGGAGATTGTGACCCTGGTGGAAGATTTTCAAAGAGCAGCCAAGAGACCAAAGCAGTGGGTAAGGAGGGCCCTCCCTCGTGGTCCCCAGAATTTCGTTTTCATCTGGATAGTTTCTGGTCTTTGGCTCCCTCCCTAGTTAGTCCAGAAATGGATCCGATGGCTTCGAAGGGTGCTTCTGGCTTCTGTTTGGGAACACCCCCTGAGAGAGATCACTGGTTGTCAGAAAACTCAGGCACTGGCACCCCAGTGAGGAAGTAGAGGATCAAGTAAGGTTCTTGCTTTTTGGCTGCCCGATCTCCCCACACCCATTCCTCCTGAAGGTTTCCTACAATCAGGATTCTTAGTAGAAAGGATCATATTGTTGGGTAGGAACTTGATTTGGGGGGAATTTCCTGGTGGACTTTGTTTTGGTGAAGTGTCTTGCTTTTGGATCAGGAAGTTGCAGCTCAGTTGGCCAGTGTTTCTTCCAGCCCCCACCCCCAAATCAGACTCCAGTCAGAGGCGAGGCAGGAAGCAAACAACCATGTGTTTTGGGGAATGGAGGCAGTCAGAGAGCAGGGTGAGCAGTGCACTCAGAGCCCTGCTACTCCTGGGATCTCCTGCCCAGGGAAGCCTGGGGCAGAACAATTGATTAGTTTGTTTTGTTTTGTTTTGTTTTTGTTTTTGTTTTTAATGTCCTCACCATCCTGCTTCCCCATCCAGTAGGACCTGTTTCCAGTAGAAGTAGGGAGGCATATGGACATAGGGTGACGATCTGCTGGGCCAGTGTCATGACTAACCCTGATATTTGTGCCTTCTCTGTGTTGACTCTGAGGTCTTGAGAAAGACTCATGCTTTAGGGGCACCCACTCAAGAAATACTGGCTGATTTGAAGCAGCCTCTCTAATCATTCTGCATGTCCTTCCCTTTGCTTCCTTTGAGAGTCTCCGAAGTCTTTCCAAGTTGACCTCCAGGCTGTTATCAGGAATTCCCGGGTAAAGGGGTCATCACAGAGCAATGAGAGAGGTCATGCTCCTCTCTACTGAGTCCTCTGGCTGCACGCTAATGCATGGGGCTTGTTCCTAGGTGGCCGTGTGTATGCAGGGGCAGAAGGTGCTCTTGGAGAAAACTGGATCTCAGCTTGGAGAACAGGAACTACCAGACTTTCAACTGCAAACTCCTAGGAGGTTTCCCCGGGAGAGTGCTCTGGAGGAGCCTTCCCGGGCGGGATCTCCGGACCAGCTGAGCTCTCATCATTGGGAAAAATCCACACTCCTCCAGGAACCAAGCCCCAGATTGGCTGGTACAGGTAAACACTTGATGCCTCTTCTCTCCCTAAGTCCTTTACCTCCAGCAGATTATCTCGTCGTTCTGAAAAGCCATAGACCTTGCGTTGAGTTTGTTTAATGTTTTATATAACAGGAGAGCTTTATTCCGTAACAAATTTCACAGATTACAATGATAGCAATACTGTACATAAGAAGTACGTTTCTTTCAGTGTCTCTTAATGACTCTAACAATGCAGTACACAATAGGATTATCTAGGTCCTACTTTTCTGTTCCTTTCAGAGCTTCTTACAGTGAAGACAGATCCACATATGGCCACTGATGAACATCCATGCAAACCTTGGCTGAGTTTCATCACTTAAAATGGTCCCATGTTTAGAAAGCGCCTAAAGAATGTTAGGCTCATTAAAGGAAATGTCCTGCTCCATAATATCTTCAGCCTCTTCCTCTCCCTGTGATGTCTTATGTCTATTTCCCCACCTGTCTCTGGTACAATGCCAGTAATTGTTAGCCCTGCTGTACTCGAAGACCAAATGACAGTGACACTTTGGCCAATCTTAGTGATGTGAATACAGAGGCTGGTCAGCAAGTTAGAGCAAAAAGTTACCAGAAGGCTAGAACACGTTGATTTTTTAAGATTTGCTACATTCAGTGCAATACTTGAATTTGGTTATTCTTGGAACTTAAGAATGGAGAAGACCAAGGTGCTGGGCGGGGGCGACGGGGGTGGGGGGGGCGGGGTGCTCAGTCAGTTGAGCGTCAACTCTTGATTTCTACTCAGGTCATGATCTCACTGTTCATGGGATCGAGCCCTGCTCTGGGCTCTATGCTGACAGTGCAGAGCCTGCTTGGGATTCTCTCTCTTCCTGTCTCTGTGTCTCTCCCCTGCTCACGTTCTCTCTCAAAATAAATAACCATAAAAAATAAATAATAATGGAGAAGACCTGGGGCATCCAGTGGAAAAGTACTGTGATCCTGGCTGAGGTCCTGACCCATAACCTATAGACTTCGTGGTCCTGGGCCTGCACACTCCCTTCTCCTGCCTCATCACAGGCAGCTCAGTGTGCATTCGGGCTCCATCTTCTTTTATTTGATCGCTGCAGGTACATTCTCACGTTCTTCACCCCGAACATCAGCAGTGCCTTCCGTCAGAGCTGCACCGCCCAGTGCAGTTGCCGCTGGCCACAGGTGGCTATTTAAATTTTATTTACGGAGATAGAATTCACATGCTCTAAAATTCACCCCTTCAAAGTGTACAGTTCAGTGGTTTTTAGCGTATTTGTGCACTTGTGCAACCATGCCCTCTAATTCTTGGATATTTTTGTAGCCTCAAAAAGAAACCCAGACCCATTGGCAGTCACTCTCCATTGCCCCTTCTTCCAGCCCCTGGCAACCACTGTGTACTTTCTGTCTCTGGATTTGCCTGTTCTGGATATCTCAGAATCACATTTGTTGTGCTGTTTTGTGACTGGCTTCTTTCCCTGAGCGTAATGTTTTCACGGTTCATCCATGTTGTAACACGTATCATTCACTACTTTGTTCCTTTTATGGTGGATTTTCCATTATACAGACACGGTGTTTATGCATCAGTTGATGGTCATTTGGGGTATTTCCATTTTTTGGCTATTATAAAATCATGCTGCTGTGAACATTTGCGTACACGTTTTTGTGTGGTCATGTTGTCATTTCTGTTGGCCGTATACCTCGGAGTGGCATAGCTGGGTCACACGGTAACTATGCTTAACTTTGCGAGGAAATGCCAGACTGTTTTCCAGAACGGCTGCGCCATTCTACGTTCCCGCCAGCAGTCCCTGGGAGGATTCTGATTTCCCCACGTCCTTGTCAACACTTGTCAGTCTTTTTGGTTACAGCAGTCCCATTAGGTGTGAAGTGGTATCTCATGGAGATTTTATTTCCCTGATGGCGAATGACGTTGAGCATTTTTCCATGTGCTTACTGATCAGTCATGTATCTTCTTTGGAGAAGTATCCATTCAGATCCTTTGCCCATCTCTCATTTGCATTAGTCTTTTTGTTTTAAGAGTTCTCTGTATATCTTGGATACTAGAGTCTTATATATATAATTTACAAGTATTTTTTCCCACTTCGGGTTGTCCTTTCACTTCCTTAATAGTATACTTTGAAGCACAAATGTTTCTAATTTTGATCAAGTCCAATTTATTTTTTTGTTAGCTTGCTTGTGTTCTTGGTGACATATCTAAAATACCATTGTCTAATCCAGAGTCACAGAGATTTATGGCAATGTTTTGTTCAAAGGGACATTGGTTTAGCTCTTATCTTTAGGCCTTTGATCCATTTGGGGTTGTTGTTTGTTGTGTTATGAGGCAAGGGTCCACCCTCATTCTTTTCCAAGTGGATATCCAGTTGTCCCAGCCGCTTTTATCGAAAGAAGTGTTCTCTCCCCGTTGAATTGTGTCGACAACCTTGTTGAAAAGCAGTTGACCATAATTGTATAGGCTGCTCATTTAAATCTGGATTTAAATTAATGAAAATGAAATGAAATGTAAAATTCGGTTTCTCAGTCACACTAGCCACATTTCAGGGACTCAGTAGCTCTAGCTGACTAGTGGCTACCCTGTTGAATAGCACGTGCACAGGTACCCATACACGTGTATCCTTCCCACCTGGCAGGAATCCTACAGGGTAGCACAACTCCAGATCCTTCTACCTGCCCACAGACATTCCAGCTGACTTCCATCCCAATCCTCAATCGTGATGGTCACAAACTGTGGAGTTTCTGAAGTCAGGATACATGTCTAGCCTGTGTTACGGTTTTTAACCCTAATGCTGTCACGTTTGTAATGAACGAACATGCCACGTTTGCTGCATTTCCCATTATTTAAAGAAACCGTGGCGATCACTCAGTGTCCATGTGAGTGAGTGTGTTGCAGTGTTGACATTTCAACTCTCTCATTTCCATTTGTTAATTAATGCTGGGGCTGATGGGTCTGCGTTTCCATATTTTTTCTTTCCCTAACCTTTCCCTAAAGGTCGGAAGAAGACATGGGGTTGGGGAACTTGGTTCCTAACTCTAATACAAATTAGAATCACCCCAGGAACCTGTTAACCATGCAGATCTCCAGGTCCCACCCCCCCAGAGATCCTGACTCCACAGCTGTGGGGATGCAGGGACAGCCTGCTTGCGTAACAGGTGGCCCACATGAGTCGAATGCAAGTTGCCAGGAGAGGACCACACTTCGAGAATGTTTCTTAGCTCTTTTGCTGAGGTCCTTTCTTCAGAGCCCAGGAAATGAAACCTGTTCTTTCTAATTGTAGAGGCCCCCAGAATGAAAAGTGACAACAAGGAAAATCCGCAGCCAGAGGGGGCTAAAGGAGGGAAGCCGTGTGCCCTGTCCCCTGGCAGACCCAAAGGTAACGGTCTGCAGAGTCCCGAACCGAGAGGGGCGAATAGGAATGAACCCCGGTTGTCACGGAGGCAGGTCAGCCCCCCGAATGCTCAGAAGCCATTCGCTCACTACCAGAGACATTGCAGGGAACTGGAGTACATCAGCAGCCCCCTGAAAAGCCACCCGCTGAGAGAGCTGAAGAAAAGCAAAGGGGGCAGAAGGAGCCTGAGCAGTCGCTTGCAGCGCCTTGGTCACCAGGCGGCCCGCTCGGCAAAGAAGCCTTACAGATGTGATGACTGTGGGAAAAGCTTCACGTGGAATTCGGAGCTGAAAAGACACAAGCGGGTGCACACAGGGGAGAGGCCCTACACGTGCGGAGAGTGTGGGAACTGCTTTGGGCGCCAGTCAACGCTGAAACTGCACCAGAGGATCCACACCGGGGAGAAGCCCTACCAGTGCGGCCAGTGTGGGAAAAGCTTTCGCCAGAGCTCAAACCTCCACCAGCACCACAGACTCCACCACGGGGACTGAAAGCGGGGCTTCGTTCTCTCCGTTCAGAAGGAAGGCATCCGAATTTCTCCTTCCCTTACTTGCATGTAAATCCCAGGGTGTCTGTGTGACTTACAAGGAAAGCAAGAAGTCCCTGAGGGATGCGGTGCACATTTGGCCCGTGAGGAGTTCCAGAAGGTGCCGAGGGGGACGTGACCGTGTCGGCGACAGGGTGAAGAAGTGGCAGGTCTGGGCGTTGGGTCAGAGAGAACTGGGGTCTCTGTTGGAGAGCAGGGAGTGACCGCTGAGAGAATCCGGCCCGTCCCGCAGGTGCCCCCCCCCCCACCTTGGTGTGCAGTCTTCCCCCTGCCGCTTTATTTATTCTCTAAATACGTTCAAGGGGAAATTCCGTATGTATATACCTGATGTACTTGCTGTCATGCCCGACAGTCTTTACCGCACACGCACTTCGGTAATAACGATCAGTGATTTCAAGGCAAAAGATCACTGGAATATAAATCCCCTAATACTCTTTCTGTCATTGCTGGCCATTCATAATAAAGGACACATGAAGCGAGAGCGTAAACGTGTTTGTGTGAGGACAGGATTCCCGAGTAAGTGGTTCTCCACACGCGTGCGCACACACAGTGAGGGGAGCCCTCACTGCTCTCCTTCCTCAGGCCGGTGATGAAATGTTAGAAAACTGGATTCTTGGGGCGCCTGGGTGGCGCAGTCGGTTAAGCGTCCGACTTCAGCCAGGTCACGATCTCGCGGTCCGTGAGTTCGAGCCCCGCGTCGGGCTCTGGGCTGATGGCTCAGAGCCTGGAGCCTGTTTCGGATTCTGTGTCTCCCTCTCTCTCTGCCCCTCCCCCGTTCATGCTCTGTCTCTCTCTGTCCCAAAAAATAAAAAAACGTTGAAAAAAAAAATTAAAAAAAAAAAAAGAAAACTGGATTCTTTCAGGACCTTTACTAAGAACCACTGAAATGGGTTAATTTTAGGATGTGTAAATTCTCTCTCGGTGAAGTTTCTAAAAAAGAAAACACAAAAGATATCTGCACGAAGTGTTCAGGTCCTGGAACGAGGCCAGAGTTGATCTCGGTCCGTCCCCACATTCTTTCGGAGTAAGAATCCGAACCCGGTCGGTGTGGTCCTTAGTCGCCCACAGCAAACGAGTGCATCTCAGACTTCCGAGAAGACCGCTGGTAGATGGGTGCCTCCGGTGGGAAGCGGCCGTGTGGCGTTTCTTCTAAAGCGAGGATACCCGAATATCTGCAGGTCCCTGCCGGCCTCCTCCAGGCTGTCTACCGTGCTGCATCCTCCACCCCCAGGGGGCTCTGCGCACACTGTTCCCTTTGACCTTAAGACCTGCAGCCCCTACCACTTCCTCCCTCTCCCACCTCACAGGAGTGGCCTGCCCAGCAAAGCCTTCCCTGGGCACTTTTATTGTGTCACTCCCTGCCTCACACCACATGCCGGTGCTGCTCACCCTGGGAGCAGATTTGCCCCCCAGAGGACGTTTGGCAGTGTCTGGAAATGCTTTTGGTGCTTATGACTCGGGGGCAGGGAGCGGAGCTACTGACCTCTAGTGGGTGGAGACCAGGATGCAGCCGAGCGCGCCGCAGTACACAGGACAGCCCCACCACGGGGTCACCTGGCCCAGCGTGGCAGTAGTGCCGAGGTCGGGAGCTGTACTGTTCACGGTAAAGGCTCTTTAGGGACAGGAACCATATTTTCCCATCATGTTAGCTTTTGGACTGAGCCCACGCCCCGCCAAGAGAAATAGGTGTTGTTCTGTCAGGGCCAAGTCCTGAGTCAGAGATCCTGGTGACGATGTGTTGAATGCAGTGGACAAAGCCTCTTGTCTTCTGGCCAGAGAGAGACTTAATGGAAGCTCATTGGCCTTTCTCGTCGTTTTTAGCGGACCTTTAGACTGATTCACAGTCCCCTTCCCGGCAACCACGTTAGATTTGAGAGGAGTTTGGGGTGCCTGGGTGGCTCTGTCACTTAAGCATCTGACTTCGGCTCGGGTCATGATCTCACTGTCCATGAGTTTGAGCCCCGCCTCAGGCGCTGTGCCGACAGCTCGAGTCTGGAGACTGCTTCGGATTCTGTGTCTCCCTCACTTTGTCCCTTCCCCACTTGCCCTGTCTCTCTCTCTCTCAAAAATAAAATAAAAACTTAAAAAAAAAAAAAAGGTTTTAGAGGAGCTTGCCCTCATTACTCCTCCTGCTCCTTACGTCACCCCTGTCTGTTGCCTCTCACCGGTCAGGACCTCTTGATTCCTCCTTTCTCCCCACCTCGTCCATCTCCTTTTCCCAGGCCAATTTTGCTGTCATAAGACCCCCTTAATCATAGTTATGTCTGTATCAGTTTCCCATCGGCACTGTAACAGATAGATGATCACAAACTTAGTGGCTTAAAACAACACAGTCTCTTCGAGTTCCAAGGGTCAGAAGCCCAACGTCAGGTTCACAGAGCCAAAATTAAGGTGTCCGAATGGGTGAATCTGTTTCCCTGCCTTTCTGAGCTTCTAGTGGCCATTGTATTCTGTGGCTTGTGGCCCCCTCCTCCATCTTCAAAGTGCATGTCTCCATTCTCTGACACCACATCCCCTTGTCCTCTGACTCTTACCCTCTGGCCTCCCTCTTTAAACTGCTGTAATGTTTATATTTGGGCTCACCCAGATAATCCAAGATAATCTCCCCGTCTCAAGATTCTTAATCATATCTGCAAAAATCCCTTTTGCCCTATAAGGTAACATTCACGGCTCCAGGGATTAGGATGTGGGCATCTTCGGTTGGGGGGTTGGGGGGGCGGATTTGGCCCAACCATACCCATGTGTTGAATCAACTTTGTTAGTCAAAGATCTCTCCTGAAAGCGAATGAACTAGATTTCCAGTCTTCTTATTTATTAAGAGTTGGAACAGGAAGACTTCTTTAAATAAGAGCTTTGTTTGTTTGGTATGTTTTGGAGAACTTTGTGTATGTGCTCTCTCTCTTCTGCACACAATCAGTGATTGCTGAATCTTAGGAGTGCCCGGATGGCTCAGTCAGTTAAGCGTCTGACTCTTGGTTTCGGCTCAGGTTGTGATCTTCTGGTTCACGGGTTCGAGCCCCGTGTCGGGCTCTGTGCTGACAACGTGGAGCCTGCTTGGGATTCTCTGTCTCTGCCCCTCGCTCACGCTCTCCCTGTCTCTCTCAAAAATAAGTAAACATTTAAAAAAATAATTGCTGAATCATAAAGTCAAATGCGGTCCTTGGATAAATGTGGCACAATTGCCAATCTGAATCTCACTCCTTCCCAGAAGGTTTTCAAACCTGTGATGCTCCCTTGTCTCTTCCAGCCCAGTTTTCCTCTGGCAGGTAAGGCTCAACTCCAGTGAGGAGAGTCTGAAGGGTGGAAGAAGACGCACAGCCACATTTGCAGGTGTGCTCAGTTCTGCAGATGTGGGGTTCTCCCCACCCCCCTGCCCTTGTGTGGATGCACCGGAGGCCTCCGCACGGACCACCCACCTGCTGGCTCGCAGTTAGTGACCCCATTTAAGTGATAGCATTTCTCCTCTTGTGTGCGTCCCTCACCCATGAGCAACCTGAACGGTTTACTATTTTCTGTGGGTTTGGCTTGTACTTAGCCATGGGTGGGGGTGACTCCTACTTGAGCTATTCTGTTCCCCGGTTGCCCCCGGGGAGTCAGAGAAGGAAGCATTCGTGCACAGGTTGGGGATCTGGACGTCACAGATTTCCCTGAAAAAGCATTTTCCATCTACAGCAGATGAGGACTTGTAAAGCTCTTCCCTTCATACCATTACCGTTCCCGACAGAGTCAACAACTGCCAAATACCATCCAGTACACAGTGTTGACATTTCCCCCAATGTTTCTAAAAGACAAATGCTTTTTTTTTTTTTTAGAGCTCTTTTGAGATCTACTTCAATATAACATTCGTCCCTTTAAAGTACAGAGTTTAATAATTATGGGGTCTTCATGGAGGTGTGCAACCATCGCCACAGTCTAATTGAGAATATTTTCAGCAGCTAAGAAGGAACCCCATCATGTTGAGCGGTCGCTCCCCATCCCTGTGTCCCCTGTGAACAGTGCCTTCCAGGTCCATTCACGTCCTAGCAGGCATCAGAACTTTATCCTTTTCATGACCGAGTAATATTCCTCCGTGTGCGTGGACCGCTTTTGTTTATCCATCCATCCAGTGCGGGACGTTTGGGTTGTTTCCACTTTGGGGCTCTTGTGAGTAGTGCCGCTGTGAACGCGCGCCCGAGGCTTTCTGTGAGCATGTGTTTTCGTTCCTTGTGCGTATATACCTACGAGCGGAATTGCCAGGTCGAATGCTGACTTGACACTGAAGTGTTTCTGAGGAGCTGCCAGACTTTTTCACACAGCACCTCACGTCCCCACCTGAGGTGGGTGAGGGTCTCGGCTCCTCCACATATTTGCCAACACCTGTCACCACCTCTCCGAGTGTGGCCATGTAGTGGACGTGAAGTGCCGTGTCACTTGTGGTTTGGGTTGGCATTTCGCTCATGCTGCGCGTCTTCTCAGATGTTTACTGCCCACTTGTGTATCTTCGTTGGAGAGACGGCTATTCACAACCTCTGCTCTTTTCAAATTGGGTTGTCGTTCTCATCGTTGAGTTGTAAGAGTCCTTTATAGGTCCTGGAGTCAAGTCCTTCGCAGGTACGTGACTCGCAAGTATCTTCTCCCGTTCTTTTGTAATATACTTTTGCACAATTGCGATGTGTCTTTTTTCAAATATTTATTTATTTATTTAAAAAATTTTTTTTCAACATTTATTTATTTTCGGAACAGAGAGAGACAGAGCATGAACGGGGGAGGGGCAGAGAGAGAGGGAGACACAGAATCGGAAACAGGCTCCAGGCTCTGAGCCATCAGCCCAGAGCCCGACGCGGGGCTCGAACTCCCGGACCGCGAGATCGTGACCTGAGCTGAAGTCGGACGCTTAACCGACTGCGCCACCAGGCGCCCCTCAAATATTTTTTTAAAGTTTGCTTATTTTGAGAGAGAGAGAGA